TCCTTCTTTCCCCTAAGGGACACCTCGAGACTTGCAACCAGAGGAGCTATGGGCAGTGGCACCTCATCCCAGGCTAAACCCCTGAACCTGTCTCCAAGGCCCCCTTTTCTCTGGCTTCCCAGGGAGCCAAAGCAGCCCCGCCAGGGCTCTCCTGTTGCTTCTTCCATGCCAAGCCCTTCCTTGTGTCACTGTCCTAAGTGTGTTTTTGCCGTGGCCAGTAAATTCTTGCTTGCTTTGCTGCACTTTGCCTCTTGACCGAAATCTTCCCTTCAAGAAGACAAGAACCAACGTCTCACCAACTCTCCGGAAACATTTGATGCCATGACTCAGATTGTTTCGTCACTGGTAAGCCCGTCGTCCTCGCCACCTTGGCTTGAAGGACATGACTCACTGTGTCTTCTTCCTCCTTGCATTTTTGGGCTGGCCATGAGGTTTCTCTCTCTCTCTCTCTCTGAGGATTGCTACACTGTGCAGGCACAGGAAGAGCATTTAGAAGCTGTTAGGCTGCTGTGAAAGGATAGGTGAGTCAGGGACCGGGGAGGTTTGCACTGGGCACCCTGCCAACTGCCAGACAATGTCCATGCGCCCAGAAACATAAGGCTCTTGCCTGTGGCTGTCCGCTGTCAGGTTACTAGTTGCAGTGGAGAAAGGGGTCCTTGCCTGGAAGGATGCTCTTTTCTTCCCTTTCTCTTCCTTCCTTTGTGCCTAGAGTTGAAGTCAGAATTCAGGCTGACTTTCTTTGAGCTTTTTTTTTTTTTTTTAGAAATCCTCAAAGTGGAGCTAGAGGTTAAGGGTTGAGAAGAACTTAGGCTACAGATAAAGGTAAAGATAACTAAGAACAAAGGGAAAAATGGATGGCTGGCCTTTAACTTTGGCTTTTCAATTGGAATTGCTTTCTGAGGGTCTGGACAAAACTTTTTAGCACATAAATGAGAAAGAGAGAGAGGGAGATATCGATTGGTTGCCTCCCTAACACTCCCCGACAGGGGCCGGGGAGCAAGCCTGCAAATGAGGTACCTGCCCTCGGCTGGATCAAACCCTGGACCCTTCAGTCCTCAGGCCGACGCTCTAACCACTGAGCAAACTGGCGAGGGCGATCAGTTGCTATTCTTGTTGTGTTCATGCTAATAATCAGGCCATATTAAAACTAGAATTAATAAAGTAAATAAATTGGCCCTAATTTGGCTCTTTGATAAAAATGAGGGTGATTTTTAGGGGGGAAATTGTGTTTCAATAGACTCCATAATACACAGTTCTGGGTATTAGGCTGTAGTTCAGCTAATTATCTTCAAGGTTTTCACACATGATCTAACCTGAACTAGATCCTGAATTTTTCTAGTTTTCCTAAATATTTGACCTCAACTCTCCAAACTAATGTTTAATTTTTTCCCATCCTCTGAGTTGAAATTAAGAACTAAAATTCATTCCTTTTATCAGACCATTTGTCATCATCCTTGTCATTCTAGCTTTGGCTCCGATAATACAGAAATTTGTGACACAGTTTGTCTCCACCAGGTTACAGGCCCTACTCAGGAGATACCGCCCCCAGACACCATCACAACCCCCTTCTGCCCAGGCCTCATTGATCCTCTAGCAGACAGCAGGATTTCTTGGCTCAAAAGGAAAGCATCGTCCCTCTTTGGCAGGAAGCAGCTACAGAAGAGACCTTTTTTCTGAAAGAATTCAGAATCCAGATTCTTGAGGGGAGAATGTCATAGGCGGTTAGACAGATGGAGCAGAGGAACAATGATGGGCCAGGTACAGAAGGTCACCAGGGCAGGAAGCCCCAGGGGCTTAGCAACAGGCAACACTGGGAAAACAAGGACCTCACCCCAAGGTAGCTTTTCCTCCCCCAGCATATCACCGGTCATGCAGTTTAGATGCCCTGAGCATTCCTCCCTAAAGATAACATCTAGGCCCCACTTGTATTTCAGCTCCAGGCCCAGAAAAGCAGCAAAACCAGACAAGTGACACTGTGGCTGCCTCAGGACCAGGTGCATTGAATAATGACCCCCTGCCCTGGTGCTGACCAATCAGCAGAGACCACAACCCTGAAAGAGCTCACTGGAAAGCTGATGAATATTCTACTGAGACCCTCCCCTGAGACCTCCCCTAAGATTCCCACCTGCAAGAGAGAGATAAATATGCTCAGGACAAAAGACCCAGCTTGTCTTCTCCCCCAGGGGAGCACACCCACACCATTCTCTTCCCCTCCTTCTTTCCCCTAAGGGACACCTCAGACTTGCAACCAGGGGAGCAACGGGCAGTGGCACCTCATCCTTGGCTAACCCCCTGAACCTGTCTCCAAGGCTCCCTTTTCTCTGCCTTCCCAGGGAGCCAAAGCAGCCCCGCCAGGGCTCTCCTGTTGCTTCTTCCATGCCAAGCCCTTCCTTGTGTCACTGTCCTAAGTGTGTGTTTGCCGTGGCCAGTAAATTCTTGCTTGCTTTGCTGCACTTTGCCTCTTGACCGAAATCTTCCCTTCAAGAAGGTAAGAAGACAAGGAGAAGCAGGCCCTGTGGCAACTATTACATGTTCCCAGAAATAGGCTCACGTGTATTTCTATAGCTCTAGAGGCTCTCATGTTCTCTCTCTCTCTCTCTCTCTGTCTCACACACACACACACACACACACATACACACATGTTTAAAACCTGGTCTCAGAAAAGTGTAAGAGTGGGGGGTGGGGATTCTAAAGGGCAACAATTTAAGAACAATTGGGCAGGCATAAATCAGCGATTGTCCTGAGGGTGGACCGATTCACCCTTTCCCAAGTAAGCAACATAGAATATTTGGGGGAAACATGCTATGGAGTTTTTCCAACTACAGTGGAATATTATTAAATATTAAAGTCCAATATTACACTTCATGAAAATCACTGCACCTCCCTCCCTCCAGGATATTTGTTAATTAGAACAAGAAAATGACCCTCAAACCGGAGCTCGTACTCCATCAAAACTCCACACCAAGGCCTGTACCTGGCACTGTGGCTGAGTGTCGGGTTCAAGGTTGTTAGCTCTGCCCTTGAGGAATGTGTAGTCTAGCTGATAAAATAGACATAGACTGTAGCAATGAGGCAGAATCAGACTCCCATTGGACACAAGGAAGAACATTTTGACAGTAAAGATTATTAAACAAAGGAATGGGCCACCAAGGAGGGAAAATCCCGTCTCAGAAGGAATGGGGGTTGGAAGGGTACATCAATTGCATTGAGCCTTAAAGGGATCCCTTGGGATCTGGTGACCCACTTAATTTGGCCATGTCTAAACTCACTTTATTCCCTCTTTAATCAGTGGTTGAGCGTCGACCTAGGATCCAGGTGATCAGGGTTCAATTCCCTGTCAGGGCACATGCCCAGGTTGTGGGCTCAATCCCCAGTCGGGGGCATGCAGGAGGCAGCCGATCAATGATTCTCTCATCATTCATGTTTCTATCTCACTCTCTCCCTTTCCTTTTCTCTCTCTGAAATCAATAAAGATATATTTTTTTAAAAATAAAATAAAATGGAGTCACTATAGTCAAGCTGCTCAATTACTAAAATCAAGTAGGTTGAGGCATGAGGCAACAATTCTATTCTTGTTTTAACAACCTGGGAACTTAAGCTTTTGAATTTGCTAGTCCTGCATCAGTCTCTGGATATACATCAAACCTCCAGAGAACCCTCTGATTACCCCCGAGGACTTAGGAAAGAATGTCCATGTGTCCAGGCCACCTGACTTCCGTTACCGTCTGAGAAGATTACCCCCTGAGACCAATCCAGAGGCTAAGAGTGCTGGACTGATTCTTCTCAAGAATGTGCTTTCTACTATAAGAACTGTTAGCTTTCCTTTCTTCTTTGGAACACTCTAGGTATTGTCTACTTATGTTTCCAGTTTGCAAACCCTGAGACCCTTGAACAAATCTCTATCATTCATTATCTCTAGCCAAAGCCTCCAGACTCTTTTTGAGTTTGTTTGTTTGACAGGTCTGCCAACCATAGTTACCCAAAGCATGGTTCCAGGAGGCTCAAGGAGATACCAAAATTAAGCTCGCGCTAAAAGCATTTTAAATTGCTGTAGTCTCCTAACTACTTCAAGTTGGGTCACACATCCTCATCTGAGAGGCCAGGAAGATGCCAGGACTTGCCTCCCACACGTCTGGGGTGTGTGTGTGTGTGTGTGTGTGTGTGTGTGTGTGTGTGCGCGCGCGCTGATGGGGTATGAGGTGGTGTGTATACAGGGCAAAGCCTCAGGGCCAGAACCTCCCCTGACCAGGCTGGTGGTGGGACCAAATCTACTCCACATGTGAGTCTAATACTTCAACAAACAAAAAGGCCTCTTTGCTGGGTGGCTTTCAGCAGCAGAAGCAGAAGTTCCTGAAACCAGCCAGAGGCTTTCTTTGGTGCCCACAAAGGCATGATACCTTCCAGGTCCTCCCGCCCACAGACCTCCCCCCTCAAGCCTTCCATTCCTCATTCCTCCCGGGGACAGAGTTCCCGTGAACTAATTCTCACAGGGCCCCGAATCCAGTCCGCTCTGAAGCCTAGCTTTTCCATTCCACCCACCCGCTCCACCCACACAGCTGAGGTCACCCAGCCCAGCCTCTTTTGCAACCTTCCCAAGTCTGTGCATGAGAGGGAGAGGAGGAAAACTCCGAAGGAAGTGACTTGGCCTCAACAAACTCTTTTTTGCTCCAAAGCCTTTTTGCTCCTACCCAGCTGAGACTTGATCTAAGAGGAGACCCCCCAGACTCATAGGGAACTCCCGCCTGCCCTCGGAGGCCGGATGCTAAGCAGCCACAGCTGTAAGTACCTTGGAAGTTTTTTGGGTTCTTCTGCCTGTCCTAGCAGCCCCCAGAGGTGTTTGTGTTTTGGTGGGGAGGAGTGGAGGCAGGGCACACAAGGATGAGGCTTAGAATCTGGCAGCTGAGGGCTTAGATCCAGCCCAAAGACCCTCACACGGGAGGAGCTCCCAGGGCATGGCAGCAAGCCAGGCAGAAAAGACTCCCAGCCCAGCCCAGGGAACTGGGGCCCAGCTCGGGGCTCTGCACAGGCCAACGCAGCTGCTGGGACAGTCAGAGGAAGGACAGCCAGGAACTGGAGTCTTTCGAGAGGGCTGAGCCCTGGTAGCACCAGGAGTCCCCTTGACACATCAACAGGGTACCTTCTAGGATGGAACCGTCTCATCCTAAAGGTCTCATCAGGAGGGGGGAAGCCCTGGAGTAGGAAATGTTCCTCTTGTTCTAAGTCATAAGTATGTCTCTTAGCACAGCTCTGCAATGCTAGGCGAGCCAATGAACAGAGTCAGGCAGACCTGGGTTCTAGTCTCAGCTTGCCTCAGGAATCTACTGGGCTATGATGGCATTTTGTAAATTGCAGAGTACCCTGTAATTGCTAGGCACTATGTATCAATAAAAATAATCTATTTGGGCTTACCTATCAATCCCCCAGCACACAAGTCGCATGGAGAGAGTACCTCGTCTGTGCCCTCAGCCATACATAGTGCCGATGCGTAGTAGGCCTACAGTACATGTGCTGGGTAAATGGACAGATAGATGGATGATGAATGGGCGGATCAATGGAGATGGAGGGAAGGATAAGAGATGGATGAATGAACAGAAGGATGGACAAATGGCTGGCTGGCTGGAGATGGATGGATAAATGGATTGGATGGGTGATTGGATAAATGGATGGGTGACTATTTATTGCAGACTCAGTATTCCCGGCATGGGTCAGGCTCTTTGGAGGGATACAGAGAGGTGTGAGGCACTGTCCTGCCCTCTGGGCACTGCCAGTCCACTTCGGGAGACAGGACTAAGGCTCCCAAAGAACAAAGAACAGGAGCGCTGAGCCTCCTGAAGCCAGAACTGTTGGTGCACTTCTCGGAGGGAGCAGGTCTAGACCTGCTAGGATTTAGGTGGATCAGACAGAGTTGTGAGCCTTCCTGGGCTAGCCTCTTCTCAAAGACAAACTTTACTCCCAAGATTGTAAATCCCATTATATTTTAATGTAGATACATTGTCATTTTCCAGGGCATGGGAGCAGGGAGGGGAGGCACTGAAAGGGGCGTGAGGTAGTACATGGAGGGTGGGAGACTTTGCCCTCTTCAGAATTCTCCTCTCCCCCTCCTCACTGGTCTCCCTCATCCCCTCTCCTTGTCAGCAGAAATGACACCTCACCCAACACAAACAGGGCAGAAGATTGTGCCCGAGCCCTGCTTGGCGCCAGTGGGATGGGAAGAGAAGGGAAGTAGGAATGTGAGAACAGAGGAGGTCCGAGAGCTCTTATATGACTGTCCCAAGACCCAGGGCTTTTATTTTTATTTTTGTGAGGGGCATCAACTCAGCCTTCCTTACCCCCAGGGCTGAGCTACACTATAGCTTTGGCGGATGGACAGGGCCAGGGCTCCAGGCTTAGATGTGCTTCCAGGCAAGAGGGGGGTGAAGAGTTAGTCACCTGCGCTGGAGAGCAGTGGCCTGAGATCCCGCTCTGTGTGGACCTGAGCTGGCTGGAGCCAGGGCCCTGCATTCCAAACCTGCTCCTCCCTGTAACTTAACAATGGAGGGTGATGACAGCCCGGCCTATAGGATGCCCGGGTTTGAAGGAACGGAGTGATCTGAACGGGTGGGAGGAGGCTCGAAAGGACAACTTTTTGCCAAAGCCCAGCCAAAGGAGAGCACAGAGTGCATGGAAAGCCACCGTTTGAAATCTGGGCATGCCCCCTTGGTGAGCCCAGCCAGGGTCTACCCCCAAGCTGCCCTTCCTTGCCACTGACAGTCCTGGTCACCTTCTTGTTTCTGCCAGTTATCCTGGGCCCAAGGTCCAGGCTGTTTGAAACAGCAGCCTCAGCAAGGTCTTGGCCTTCTGGGAGTGGGGTTGGGGGATCTGCAGTGTCAGCACACTTTCAGGGCACCTCAGGGGAAGGGGACCAGGGTGGGGTGGGGCAAGGGGAGCTCAGAGTCAAGGCTGAGGTGAGTTACAAGGATCTGGAGGAGAAAAAGGTCAAGTAAAACTCAAAGAGAAGACTTTGAACCTCAGAAGGGCTGGCATGGAATGGAGCATTTTGTGTGCCTGCCCCCCGACCCCCTGCCCCAGGAAAAATTCACCCTGAGTGAGAGGAAGAAGCTCTATGGAGGCAGGTCTGGCTCCATCTTTCCGTGAATGTGGCAGAGATGGCTTAAGTATGGGGCAGGAGACTGAACTAGATGTCCTTCCTATAGTGTGCTGGAGCAGGCTCCGCTTGGAGTTTGAATCAAGCCGTGGTGGGAATATTTATACCCTAGAAAGTGGCAGGCACAGCAAATCTGCCTCCTCCTCAAACCGCCCCCCACCCCACCCAGTTAACCATTTATCTGGGTCTTCCCCAATTTGGGGAGCCAGTTCTGCTATAAGAACATGACACATGACACCCTGCAGAATAAGCCACAGGCATGAGTGATGTCCATTTTACCCACGAGGGAACAGACTCAGCAGGGTTAAGTAACCCAAGGTATATATAGCAGTGGGATGAGAACTCTTGGTTCCCAAACTCATGATCGCTCCACGGGACTAGGTGGCCTCCCTCTCCTGCTCAGGCACAAAATGATTCGTCCTGTCAGGAAGTCACACTCAGATGACTTTGGACTGCCATCCACCCATGTGCTCTATTTAAAGAAATGTCTTTATTTGACATTTTTTAATTACAGCAACTTAGGCTTGTGTAACAAATATTAATATAAGACATATAAAATAAAACAATAGCTCTAGCTTCTACTCTACCTTTCCCCACCTCCTAGTAATTATTCAGTGTGTCTATCCATAGCTTTCTGTGTATTTACAGGACAAGCATAAATATAGTATGAAACATACAGTCACACATATAAGGTTGTTGTTTGTTTTTATACATTTGGGATCATACTATACAAAATGTTCTTTTTTAACTTAAATTATCATCATATCTGTCTGCTTCATTACTTCACTCTCTCTCAGAGTATGAATGGATTATAATTTATGTAGAGTGTCTTATTGATGGATATTTAGATCACAGGAATGCTTTTCCACAATCATCTCTGTACAAATGTGTGTTTGAGTATACGTGTATTCTGTAGGATAGGTTTCTAGAATTAGAACCTAAGTATGCACCTATTAAGTTTTGATATTGTCAAATTGCCCTCCAAGACTCTGACAGTTCATTATCTATCAACAATATACAAGAGTTTTACTCCCTCACACTTGCCAACACTAAATATTATCACTAATCTTTTTTAATTTTTGCCACTCCAGTAGGTGAATAAAGTAGTATTTTAAAATTTACATGTCCTTGAAAATTAGTAAGGCTGAGTTATCTTTTCAAAGCTTACTACTAATCATTTACGAGGCTTCTGCTGGGTTAGCTCATTTCTTTATGCTGTATGCTCTTTGGTTATCTGTGGCCTGCTCTGCACACAGCGGATTTTGGTTCTGCTGTACGTAACACACGGTTTTCCCTTCTTACGCTGCACCGGCCAAGCCCGCACCACCAGGCCCTCCAGCCTCTCTGACAGGGCACCGAGTGGCAGGGGGTGTGATCCTCATGCTAGGTTTGCAGAAGGCAGTCTAGGTGCGTGGGCTCTGGAGTTAGGCCTGGATTCAGCTCCCAGCTCCAAATCCAGGCTCTACCCCTTGTGGGCGATGTCCTTAGAGATGAACCACCTAACTTCCCTAGACATCTGTTTCTTCACTAGTAAAATAGACAGGATAATAGTGTCAAGCCCACAGGCTACTTTTTGGGTGCTAGTAGTCACAAAATAGCTAATATTTCTTGAGCCCTTAATTTGTACCAGTAAATGTATTATAATGATGTATTGTTATATGGTTTAACTGTGTTATACTAGTGTATTAATTTATTTAAGCTTGTAATGGTATGCATATTGTTTATTTGCATATTTACAAAGCCCTCTCACAGTGCTGGGAAATAAATGTTAGCTTACCGCGTGAGCCTCATCTCATGGCAGAATGGCCATCAACACGTCTCCCTGCCCCTCGGTCCTCCCACGACCACTCCAGCTCCACAGCCTCTGTTCCCTCCAACCCCACTGTACTTTTTGTCACTTTGGCTGCCTTTCTTTCAATCTCCTCCAACTCTGCTAGGGCCTTGTTAGACTCACCAAGCCTGAGCCCAGTGCCCTGGATCCTGTCCACACTTGTTCTATGAGTCTGAGCTCAGAAGGTGGGGAGGCAACAAGGCGCAGCTGGTTCACGTGCTACCTGTGTGGCCCTGGGTGAGTCACCAGTGACTTGGCTTCTCTGAGCCACAGCTGTAAGCATCTCACAGGGCTCTTGGGAGGATTCCCTAAGCTCCACAGAGGATGCAGAGCAGCCCCTTGCAGGTTTCTTTCCACACTTCCCTCTGCCTCCTTTTCATTCTGACTCCCTTTCTAAGGCCCAGTATTGGCTCTGAAGCTATGTTAGCACGTGTACCAAAGCCTGAATTCTTGCAGCACTTTCTCTGTGCCTCTGTTGGGACTCTTGACACTTTCTCTCTGGTGTAACTGCTCAGTCCCTGTCCTTTCTACCCTGGTGGCTCCCTGGTTGGAGGGTGAGGAGTCTTGTTTGCTTCATCTGTGTGCTCGTCCAGTGTCCAATGCAGGGCTTTGCATAGAGTAGACATGTGGACACTTGTTGAATGAATGTATGAACCACCGAGAAGACCTGTTGCCCACCACGCCAATCTAGCCCTGCTGGGTAGAAGGTCCAGTGCCACCAACTCTGGCTCCTGGGACAAACAGCTCTGAGCAAAGCCTCAATTCACCTTTGAGCCATGGAACAGCTCATGGAGGGACATTAATAATCCTAGGCCTCTAAGGGTTTTATTTTAACTTTGCACTAACTAGGCATGCCCAGGCAAAATTTTGGTGGCCCAGTGAGTTACAACTCCGATAGATAAAGCATTTGTCAACCAGAAGGGACCTTGAGTCTTTGGGGCCCAACTGGGTCATTCTTTAATTGGAAAGCCAAGACTCAGAGAAGGCAAGTGACTGGTCCAAGGTCACACAGTGGCAAAGTGATAACTAGAACATCCAATGCCTTAGGACATCCAATCCAGAGCTTTTTCCAAGTAGCAGGGGAAGCTCAAGCTGGTCAGCCTTTGACTCTTCAATCACTTTCCCACATTATTATAATATGCTCAAAATTCCATTTTAATGACTGTCTCATAGTTCATTGTGTGCCCTGATTTCTTTAATCACTTCTTTACTGTTGGATGTTTATGAATAATCCTATGAAGAACATTTTTGAACAAGAATCTTTGCCCAAATTTCGGATTATTTCCTTAGGACAAATTCCTGGTAAGTGGAGAGCAGGAACATGCTTAAGACTCTCACTACTTGCTGCCAAGTAGCTTTCCAGAAACATGTACCAATTACAACCCCACCAGCTGCCTCAAAGAAGAGCCTTTGATTCTGCAACTGCAGCAACACCTCCGGGTGGGGGAGGGGCACTCTTTCATCCAAAGCCTCTTGGGTAGTCCTGACAATGGACCCCTTGTCCTGCCCCCCTTTCCTCTTCCCATACCGCTCTCCATTCCTGGCTCCAGGCTTCCCTGTCTGCGAGGCCTCTGTCCAGTCCCCTCCGGCCTTCCTGGCACTCCAGGCTGCCTCCAAGATCAGGGCTGGTAGAGCTGAAAGGTGAGAGATGCACCTGTCTTGGGGGGTCACCGCCCTTCCAGCCTCGGAAAAGCCCCCAGGGGAAGTGAGGAAGAGACTGTGTGAGGGTGGCTGAGTCATCCACCTGTGAACCCACCCAGGTCCTCGGCCTAAGGCAGTGACCTGCACACCTAGGAGGAGAACGTAGAGGCCAGCCTCAGTGCCAACAGCCAAAGGGGACTCTGAGCAGCATGTGGGTGATTTCTGTCTCCCTGCAGGCTCTGAAGCCCCTCCATGAATCCCAGGAAGAAGGTGGATTTGAAGCTCATCATCATTGGGGCCCTGGGGTAAGTAAAGGCAAGCTCGGCTTGGGGCTGGGGCTGAGAAGCAGACCCCTAGTCAAGGAAAGTGAGACCTCCGGGACATGTTTCCACCTCCCATGGGTACCTTTCTGACTCAAGGTGGCACTAGGGAGGGCATCCCACCCAAGTAAGGGAGCTCAGTAGGAGAAAGAGGCTGGGAGTCAGGCTACCTGGTTTCTGGCCCAAGCTCTGTGGTAACAAACCACTTAGCATCTATCCGCCTTCCCACCTCCTGCCATGTACAGGGGAGACCTGACCATTGCTTTGGGGCACCCAGCTCTCTTCAAACCTCTCTGCTCACTTTGACTGGCCCCTACTTCTAGAAACGATTCCTTAGTCCCTTGCTACTCAAAATGTGATCCTTAGACCACAAATGTTAGAAATTCAGAATCTCAGGGAGAAACAGTGGTGAGGGGAGCGTGGTAAGATTTTAAGAATGGTATGGATGTGTGTGTGTATGTGTGTGTGTGTATGTGTGTGTTCACATGTGTCTGGGGGTTTTCCTCAGTGTAGGAAAGACCTCCCTCCTCCACCAATATGTGCACAAGACCTTTTACGAGGATTACCAGACCACACTGGGGGCCAGTATCCTCTCCAAGATTATCATACTGGATGACACAACTTTGAAGCTGCAGGTGAGCAGCCTCCCTTTCTCTCTTCAACATTCATTCCTAAAAATCACCCCACATGCTCTGGACAGCCACTCACAGCAATGTGTACCAGGAGCTAGAATGGTTTGAGCCAACACCAGCAAACTTCAGCTAATGACTAAATCTGGTCCACCACCTGTTTTTATAAATAAAGTTTTTTGGCCCACAGCCATGCTCACTTGTTTACTGATGGTCTATGGCTGCTTGCACACTAGAGCAGGAATCATTGAGTAGTTGCAACAGACAGTATGGTCTGCAAAGCCTAAAATATTTACTATGTCACCCTTTACAGAAGAAAAAAATTTTAAATGCTGATCTCTGATCTAGAAGGATGAGCTTAAATCCAGGAGTTGGGGGGTCTTACTTCTAGTCTCAGGTCCCTGGAAAAGTTGGCCAGTGGCCTTGGCAAATCACTCCCAAGGTCCAAATCTATCAGCTGGGAATAACAATACCTGTCCTGATGGCTAGGGGAAAACAAGAGCTCAGATGTGGAAGAACTCTTGGACACTGAATGCGAGTGCCAAGATATGTAGTGTCAAGGGCGATAGGGTCAAGGCACCTGTGCCAGGGCTGCCTGCTCCCTACCCAGAAATGGGAGCTTTGACATGACATGATCCAGTTGGGCCAAACCTCCAGCCATTCATCACAGCCCCATGGGACGGCTTCTTCTTCCTCCAGATCTGGGACACAGGTGGCCAGGAGCGGTTCCGCTCCATGGTGTCCACATTCTACAAAGGCTCCGATGGCTGCATCTTGGCTTTCGATGTCACTGACCTGGAGTCCTTTGAAGCCCTGGATACCTGGCGGAGTGATGTTCTGGCCAAAATCATTCCAGTGGAGCAGTCCTACCCCATGGTCGTGCTGGGGAACAAGATCGATCTGGCAGACCGGCAGGTACCATTCATTCATTCATTCACCCAACACTATGTGAGCACCGACTGTATGCCAGACACTGTGTTAGACCCAACACATACAAGGCTGAATCACACACAGTCCTTGCCTTAAAAATTTTACAATCTAGTAGTGGATAGAGACACTTTAAAGGGTAATTATGATACAATATGGTCAATGCAATGATAGCGATAGACCTTGGAAATTTGGAGACCACAGTGAATGTGCATGTACTATGGCCAAGATCTAGAAAGGGCTTCCTATAGTAGGTGGCTTCCAGGCTGATAAAACAGCATGAGTAAAGGAGAGAAATAGCATGATATGAACTGAGAATTGAAGAAAATTTTGTCTAGAGTCAGGGAATAGAAGAATTAAGGCATCAGAGACAGGCAGGCAGAATCTGAATTAACCTGTAGAACAGTATTCTTAGCCAGGGAAAGTAGCATATATTTTTTATTAGCTTAAGCATACTTTGGGTCATCTGACTAACCACAGGGTGGCTTGTCTGTTCCATGGCAGCAGTGACCCCCGCTTTGTGTAGGTGTTCAGTGCGGCAGGGTCAAATAGAGCCCTTTCATCGTTGCCTATTAATGGGAAGAGACTAGATGTAGACTTCATTTGTAAAAGATGCTCTGGGTCCCTCAGATGCATGTCAGACACAAATCCCTGTAGCTACCATAACTCCAGGGGTCGAATGATGAGCTTTCCAAGTGGCCTCCTTGAAGCCCTTTTTGGGGTGGAAGTGAGACTTTGCCTGTTCTCCCTCCTGTGGGGGGGGGCCTGCACCCACAACACAACTCTCTCCAAAGAAGTCCTTTCTACCCCTCCTTTTCCATCTTTTGATATCTGTGCTGTGCATTTTGGAGTCACCTAACAGATCCTTGGTCATGAACCTTTGGAAATATACGAGGTCAGGGGGCCTTCTGTCTCCCCGCCCACCTTATATCTGGCATCTATCAAATTGAAGGGCGTCCCCAAAGCTTCCATTTTAATTAACATCCTACTTCATACACCTGTAGATCGTAGGGTGGGACGTTGAGGGAGTTCAAGACTGAGTCTGACTCTTTCTCAGTGAAATAAGAGGCATCATCTTCTTGAGAGGGAACCAAGTAGGAGTTTTAAGAACGATGGTGAATCTTCAAGTTACTCTGGAGAGAAACCGGTGAAGAAGCTAATTGAAGACAAAGACAAGAATTGATGGGTGACACTCAGGGCTTAGCTGGAGGACACCAGGAGTGGGAGGCGGAGTCTGTGTTGTGTTTTTCTTCAACATCCCTGTGTGGGGTAGGAGCCAGGAACGAAGGACCTGGGACTAAGGTTCTTCCAGACAAGAGTAGCTCAAGGATAGGGCTTCCACCTCTGCGAAGTGGAAGAGCAGGGCAGAAGGAATGAGGCCCCAGGGCGAGGTGGAGAGGAAGCCTCAGGGACCCCAGGCGTTCAATGAACAAGGCTACTGGCAGGGTGGGCAGTGCAGGCAAAGGGTGGAGGGGCCCAGCCCGAGCTTGGGTGGGGGCATGAGCTTTGATCTCCAGGGAGAGGGAGATAAAGGCTTGAAAGAAGCAGTAAAGCCCCAGGCAAGCCCAGCCCCATCTCTGGGACGTGTGTCCTCAGTCAGTTCAGCTTCTTCATCTGTGAACTAGAGACCAGACACAGATTTCAGGGGGTTGTGCGAGGGTTGAATAAAAGATGCCTCTAAAGCATGTGTTGAGCTTGATAAATGGTAGGGGCGGTCATCTTCATTCTCTCCAAGGCAGGGCTGGGGGACCCGGGAGCGTCTCCTACTCGATAAAAGGAACATAAGTATTTAAAACTCTGCTGCTAAGGTTTGAGAGGAAGAAAAAGTTCCCGAGATGGATGGGGGTGCTGGTTGCACAACCATGTGAATGTACTTAATGCCCTTCAACTGTGCACTTAAATATAGTTAAAATGGTAAATTGTACGTTTATGTATATTTTACCACAATAAAAAATATATATATTGCCAGAGTGATTTTAAAGAAATTACTGACCTAGGTTTTTTTAAAATCCTTACTCTTTCTAGAGAAGGTAATAGAGTGAGAACAATATTTGTTTAAAAGAACAGCTCTGCTAGCATCTATGCTGCAAGGGATTTACTCACTAGCTTGTGAATTCTTTGCTCTAAGTTCAGGTAGGCAATTTTTGACTTAACCACTGATTCGTAATGTTGGGATTAAGTTTTCTAAAAAGTATTCTTTATTTTTGGTAGTGGTTTAAGATATATTTGACACTCTTATTTTAACACATATAATTGATCATTTTAAATGTATATGAGATGGAAAAGCATCATAAATAAAATTATATAAACTAGACTGATTTTTGTCAAGCTTTTGGCCTCTGAACAACCATCAAAATTGTACAGGAGTCCTGGCTGAGGTGGCTTAGTTGATTAGAGCGTCATCCAGGGCACCAGAGGGCCCTGGGTTCAATCCCCGATCAGGGCACGTGTGGGAGGCAACCAATTGATGTTTCTCTCTCACATCGATGCTTGCTCTCTCTCTCTCCCTCTTCCTTCCTCTCTCTCTAAAGTCAATAAAAACATATTCTCAGGTGAAGACTAAAAAAAACTTGTAACAAGAGAAGTAGAATGTTAGTAGTATATTGTCAGCCAGAAGCAAAATTAATAGAAGTAACACTTCCAAAATTTTTATACTTCCCTTGTCCCCAAGTATCACAGCCTGAGTTCATTTCTGCAGAGTCTAAGTTATAAATAACCAGCATTTTATAAATAAATAAAAACAGGTCGATTTTAAAAATTATGAAACTGTAACTGGAATTGGAAGAGGCAAGTGAAAAGTTTCTTCCCAGGCCAGCTTTCTGAGGTTCAGTGAGAGAGGTGATAGGAATACCAAAAAAAAAAATGTTAATTTGCAACATAATCTCCACTGATATTTTGGAGTTGTGTATTTAATCATTGCAGGTAAACAGAACAGAGAAAGAGTGAGGAAAAGGAAATTAAATATCTGTCATAACCCAGTCACGGTCCAGCAGGAGAGAAGGGACAGCTGAGATCAGGCAGCTAGAGTTGTGAACTTGTCTTCCTAGCTCTGTCACTGGGTGGCCTTGGGCACCAATCCTGGCTTCTGCCATTAAAGATAAAGACTCTCCCTGCCTGCTGGAGAAGCGGAGGCCTTGACTTCATTGCACTTCACTTCAATTCCCACTGCAACTCCTGAGTACCAATGACGAGCCCAGGAAAATGTCCATGACCTGGTGGGTGTGGGGGGCTAGGCTGGGAGAGGGGGTGGGAAATAAAGAAGGGAGGAGCAATCCAAAAAGTAAGTGGGGTCCTTGCCCTCAAAGACTTTAAAAGATACAAAGCCTATATTATTGTATGTCAACTGTAATTGAAAAATAAAAAATTATCTTTCAGAAAGATACAAAGCCCTTTGTGTTCCTAAGATGCCATCTGGGTATAATGTGCTGATTTCTAATGAGCATTTATTTGCATGTCACTAGCGAGGACAACGATAATCAGTAGCCTGGCCGTCCTTGTTTCTTCCCCCACATATAGTTCCGGATTTTCCCCGAGCTGTGAGGCTTCTCCTTGGTGACTCACCAAGTCCTCGGTATCTGTGCTCCACAGGAGGGAGCACTCGTGGCCAATTCTGGGGCCCCTATTCCCAAAGGCAGGAGGATCTTAGAAATCAGAGGCTAAGACCAGGGCCTGGGGTTTTTCCCTGCTCTACTCAAGTTCAGCAGCAACCAGGAGACTGACTGGGCAGAGCCTGGATGTGGGGGGTAGAGGTCATCTGGGCTCCCCAAAGGGCAGATTGCTTAGCCAACCCCAGTCTCCACCCTCCAGTGCTAGGTAGCAGGCCTCACAATGCCAGAGCAATGCTGGAGGGACAACAGAGGCATGTGAAAGAGCCCTGAGCCCTGTGCCCTGATGCCACTCCTGAGACCAGGGGAGCAAAGACCAAAGAGAAAAGGGACAGCATGGTGCCTTTCATCTCAACAAGATAAACTCCCAGAACCTGCAGGAGCAAGGGAGAAAACTTGATGCGGGCAGTCTTTGATCTCCCCCTGCTGTGCTGTGTTCTGGGAGAGGGCAGAAGGTCCTTTCTCCATGTGAAAAGCCTTGTCTCCCTTAAATAAAATGAAGTAATGGTTATAAAGTCCCAAGCACAGCAAATGTCCAATACGTGGTCATTTTCCCCTCCCTGAAAGAATTAGACATTAAACTCAGTGTTACCGATGTCTCTGGGAGTAACCCGCAGTGCAGCCGGGACATTGCCCAGTCCAGCAGCCTCTCACTGCGATCAGCCACTGGCACGTGGGTGGTGATGTGCCCATTTGGCCTCCACTGAGCGGCTCACGGCGCCAGGCCAAGAGCTAAAAAGGCTCTGACCCTGAACTCAAGGAACCTGCAGTCCAGTGGGAGGGACAGAAAAGCAGCCCAGTTCTCCTGCCGTGTCCTGCACAGGGCAGCTCGGGTGCCATGCAAGCACTGAACTGGGGCTTCATCCGAACCGCCTTTCACAGCCGCGTGATCTGAGGCAAGTCCCTGAGCCTCTCTGAGCCTCAGCGTTCTTATGTCACAGGGTTATTGAGGATTAGATAAGTTAATATGACAAGATATCTAACACAGTGTCTGGCCCATAGGAGCTTATCAACTGTCCCTAGGACTCTACCCTGGAAAAAAGGGTTAGCAGGGGCCTGAGTCTCTGCCCAGCAGCAGGCCTCCTGGGTCAGCGAGCCCAAGGGAAGAGAGCCTTCTGTCCCTGGCCAGTGTCCGTCACGTCCATCCCCTTTTGAAGGGACTGGACAAGGAGCCAATGGCAGGAGGAAGCTCCCAGGGTAGGCCCTCAGAAGGCAGCACAGTGCAGTGGGCTCTAATTCGGCCACGCCTGCTCAGCCCCAACACTCATAGCAAATTCTTTCATTCTCTAGTCCTCAGTTTCCGCATCTGGAAAATGGAGCCACAATAGCCACCTCATAAATTGATGTTACGAGATAACGTGTAAAGTTACGGACACAGGGAAGGTTCTCAGCAAATGGGAGTGGTGGAACGACAGTGTGAGGATGGGACAACAGCAGAGCTGGTGGTGGTGGTGACACAGAAACAGTGATCGTTTCTGCCCTTCATCCAGGTGCCACAGGAGGTAGCCCAAGGCTGGTGTAAAGAGAAGAACATTCCCTACTTTGAAGTCAGTGCCAAGAATGACATCAACGTGGTACAAGCCTTCGAGATGCTGGCCAGCCAAGCTCTGTTCAGGGTGAGTGGCTGGTGGCCGCACTTGGCCCAGCTGCCCCTAGGATGGGGAAACTCCCGAGCTTCCAGAAAAGAACACATTGGGCACAGGCAGGGATGTGGGTGGAGCAGGACTGCTCGTCTTAATTAATGAGCTGCTGAATGGGCTCAACAGGACTCCAGCTCTGGGGCCACAGGATGCCAGAGGTACCAAGCTACTTTAGAGTGTCTAGTCGGTGGTCCCTCCAACTGGCTGATATCAAAGTCATTTGTGGAGTTTCTAAAAAAAATACCACCCTGTGCCCCACCCCCAGAGGTTCTAATTAGTAGGGGTTTGAGAAGTGATTAATTCAGTCCTCCTGAGTGGGAGAGACGCCCCATAGTGCCAAGCATTTGTCCAAGTAGAACATCAAACCTGCAGGAATTGCTGACATTTTCTGATCAAAAGGATGGATAAATGCAGGCCCCAGGTGTGACAATTCTATAAGCATGTGTTGAGCGTGTCATGTGTGCCAGGCACTGCACAGGGCTTGGGGGCCCCTCGCTCTCATGGGGAGACAGATAAGCGCCTGAGGTTTCAGTATAGATATTGTAAGGTGGGGTAGGACTTGGTGATGGGACCCCAGAGTAGGGCACACAGCCAGCACTCTGGGAGGAGGGGAAAGAGAAGGGAGGAAGATCAGGGAGGGCTGCCTGGAAGCAGCATCGAAGTTTTAAGGCCACTCTGATGTGGAGTCTGGAAACTCTGAAGGGGGCCCGTGAGAGATTAGCGCGGGGAGGGGCTCAGCTTGTTCCCTTACCCTGCCACATTTAATCAAGGTGGGCTTCTGAGAAGAGGGGAGGTCGTTGCGGCAGTGATTTTGAATTAAGGAAATGAGTAAATGAGGATGGGAGATTGGAGGCTTGTCTGGCCTGCTCAGCCAGCTGCCTGGAGAAAAGCAGGTCAGGACCAGCCTGGAGGTGTTCATGACGGAGAGGCGGCTGCCACCTCTAGCAGCTGCCCGGGGGAAGGCCCAAGCTGCCCTCTTTACGCCTCGGAGCCTCAGTCTCAGGGTTTGCCTCCGGGGCTATTCTTACGGTTCCCCCCCCAGCCCCAGCACCCACTGTCCCATAAAGGGAGGGAAAGGGCCGGCCATTTCTAGGCACGGCCGAGAAGTGTGGTTTATTACACAGCCCGTGAAGTTGGCTCCTAAAATACAGAAGTGCCTGCTCGTGCCACCGCCCTGGAAGGCAGAGGAATGCTCCTTGACTTTGCACAGTGATACGATAAACGACCCTCCACAGACAGTGCAGTGGAGCAGCCATCGGCCCATAAGCAGTGTCCGTGTGAGGTTGGCAGCTGTCCTTTCTGGAGAAGGATTGTCCTTTATTCTTCCTGCTGTGTCACTTTTGTGATGTGGTCTTAGTAGGTGGCAGCCTGTCTTCTTGGTATTTTTTAACACCCTACTTGGCAAAAGAATAGGTTGGCAGCCCCATGTCAGTCCCTCATCTTAATGGGGGAAATTTTCTGGTGAGAAGTCTGAAAGTCAGTGTGGTGTCTGCAGTCAGGCTGACCTGGATTTCATTCCTGCCCTGGTGGACCACTGAGCAAGACGCGTGACTTCTCTGAGCCTCAGTTTCCTCATCTGTAAAATGGAAATAATTCAATCCCATGGACATTTCTTACATTGTCAGGCTAGGGCTGGAGGTATGCGCCTCAGTGTCCCCATGGTAAAGCAGAGGGGTAGTCACAGAAAGACTGTCATGGAGTGAAATGAGTGCCACAGGGGGAGCAGGGGGAGGCACTGAGGGAACCCCGAGGCACTGGTGGCGAGGTTGGGCAAGGGTGTCTACCCAAGGAGTGGCATGTGAGAGGTGTTGAAAGACGATTTGCAATTTGCAGATGGACATGGTTGGCCACTGTGGTACAAGCAGGAGTGGCAGAGGGTGGAGAGAAGGGCATGGCCAGAGGCCCAGGCAGGAATCCATGGGGCTTATATGAGGAACCAACTGAGGGTTTTGTCTGTAAGAGAAAGAAGCGTGGCATGGAGGGAAGGGGGCGTGGGGCCATGGCGAGTAACGAAGCCCACAAGGTCAACAGCACCAGATCAAGAAGGCCCAGTGGCCCCAGCCCGGACCTCAGACTTCTATGCTCTTCCAAAGCAGAAGGCCCCTGCTTCCCAGAGCACACTGCTGGGCCCCCAGGGTACACAGGTGCCCACCTGGACCTCAAAGCCCAGCAGGGCATATCTGGGCACATCTTTCTATGGTGCCTACACTACTCAGAAATTTGGAGGAGGGACATTTTCACATTAAAACAAACATACCTAGTAGGGCATAGAATGTAAAATTCACATGGATTTTTAAGGTGAAACTGGTTCTTTCAAATCTATATTTTAAGGTCAGATGAGAATTTTTGAAGATATTTTCTCCAAGGACCTCTCTCTCCACTCCTTCCCAGGGAAGTCCTGTGCTCATTCATACTGGCCCAAAATGTTTCCAGAAGAAGATGTGAGAGGTGCTGCTGGAATAGAGAGGGAAGCCCCAGATTAGGGTGCGAGGAGCTGGGGCCCTGAAGCTGGAGAGACCCGGCTGTAAATCCTGGCTCGCTGTGCCCTTAAGGAAGTCATGCAGCCTCCATAAGCCATGGCTTCCCTCCCTTTGAAGTACAAATAACAATGTCTTCCTCATGGGGATGTTGCGGGGGCTAAATAAAATAGTCTGATAGCCAAGAGAAGGCATTAAATAAAAAGTAGCTATTTTAAAATGAGAGCTATATGTAAGGGTTTTCAGCAGGGCATTTCATGCTGCAGAGAGGATGGGCTCTATGGGTGGCTGAGAAGCTACTGCAACAGTCCAGGCACGAGCGGATGGAGATGGTGACAGAGTGTAAAAGAAACTTTGGAGGGAGGACCATCAGGAGTTGATGATGGGAGAATGCAGGAGAGAAGGAACCAGGAGCTGTTAAGGTTGATCACCAGGTTTCTAGCTTGGCAAACAGAGGAACGATTGATTAGGGATGCTCTGGACCAAGACAGAGAAGAGAAGGGAAAGCAGGAGCATGACAGGGGGCAGGCGAAATTTGGTCCGTTGGAGCATGTGGCAGTCAAGGGTCCTTGAAGTGTGTGAGTCCTGCAGTGAACTCTGGATGGAAAGAGCAGTTTGCAAGTAGAGCGCCTTCAGAATAGGTACTCGGTTAATATTTTGAGAGGAAAAAGGTAGGAAGTTACTTTAGTGTCCCACTCTGGCCAATTTCAAGAATTAGGGTATTTATTCCAAAATATGATTAAGAATGCCCTTATGATCAAGAAGGACACCCACCTATTTGGGGAGGTTTGGGATGACTGGTTTTGATCTCACCAAGTTGGCAGTACCATCCTTGCTGGGCTGGCCAGGCCTGGCTCCAGCAGCATGCGTGGGCTACAGCGTGGAGGCCCAGTTCCCTTCGGGCCAGTTGGAGAAAGACAAACTGCCCTGTCCAGGAGGGAAGCAGGTGTGCGCGCTGAAGCTACAGCACCTTCACGAGACGCCCAGGATGCAGGATGCAAAGGCAGGGCCATGGGGGCAACCAGGCTCAGAGGGACAGGCGCCCCTAATTACATCCACTGAAGTGGTGTGCACATTTGGATACTGTGAGTGACTTTACAGTTTGCCAAGAGGACCAGGGCCTGGAGAAAAAGGTTACACAGAAAACCTAATTATGGCCTGCCTACCACTTAGAAGTTTTACAGGAAATCCAAGGGGCGAGATAATGCCTTTATCGAGTGAACTGGTGTCATAAGTGGGAAGTGCCCAGGGTGGACTTGGACCTGGGAGGCTGCGAGTATCACTGGGTGAGGAGAACTGGAGTGAAGAGCTCAGCGTTGCCAGTGTGGCTGAGGGCGTTTCTCACACCTTCCTGAGGCAGCACTCGTCTGTCCCTAGAACAAAGTGCAGAGGATCTCAGAAAGCCGCAGCTTCTCCGGGCACTCAGAACCCCTTCCCAAAGGCTGGCAGTGTGCACAAGGCAGCCTGCGGGCTCTGGGGTCCCAGTGGGCCTGGCGTGGACATGAGGGTGAGTCACAGCAGGCCCTGCCCCTGGGGACAAAAGACCGGATTTTTAAAATTCCTGATCCCAACCAAGGTCTCTTTGGCTTACATGGTGAGAGAGGGGCCAGGAAAGGACCACAGTAAGAGAATCCTGTATTGCTGGGAGAAACGGATCATCCCGTGTAAAAGGGACTTAAATAGTAACGTTCTGTTCCTCCCTGTGCCTCATGTGAGGTCCAGAAATGTCAGGATTTTCACTGCAATTAGCTCAGTGGAGTGAGTGGGGCCCACGCACAGCAGAGGGGCCCGCTGGAGGACTGGACAATGCCCAGGTTTGCTTAGGCCCGAGCCCCCGCCCCAGGCCTGGACGGTGCTGGGGTGGCACTGAGAAGTGGCCAGCTTGTCAGACTGAAGAGGGGACTTTTTCTGGACGGAGTCAGGACAAGAGAGTTTGGGAGGGTGGGCAGACAGGGGAAAAGGCCCAGTAGAATTGTTGAGTCTATTTAGGAAGCCTTCCTGAACATGGGAAAAACAGGACTGACAGGAGGGTG